CAAATTTTTATTTATTACAAACCTGTAACGGCGACAGAATAAAAAACGTTAGATCTCCAATCCTGTTTGGATCGCTTGGAATTTTATTATTAACATAGTACTGTAAAGCGTCGAAAACTTGACGTCGGCTTTCCAGAATTTTATTCCTACTTTCGCTTGACAAACCTCGAGCAACTAGAACAATAAGCTTTAACAGTTACGAACAATCTAGCAGAAAAGGAAACATATTATACGTCGTTGTTGCGGAACAAAATCGTTTTCTTATTAATTTTAAGCTTAAATAAAAACTCTTTAACATCCATTACCAACGAACAAAAACTTAAAAAATTGGGAACAGAAAGACTAATATTTTAGCACTTAACAGTTTAAAATACTTGAAACAAAGTATAAAACGAAACGTTTTATCAAGAATATTAAATGTCGCTCAAAAAAGTAAGTGGATATTATAAAGCAGCAATCATGCTGTAATACAACTTTGCTCAAGTAAACACATAGTTTGTTAGAAATTTTTCAGACTTTGAGTATTTGTTTAGCTCAAGTGTTTCGCACGCGATGCTCCCACTGATTTAGATTTGATTTAGTAGGGCTAAACTAATGTGCAGTGTTGGTTAGCGCTTGATATAACAATTCACATATATCCTTCTATTAACATGGTTCTTCTTACAATGCCACTTGAAACAGTTAAAGAGCCACGAGTCACGCCTTACAATGTTCAGTGCATCTGATACAGAATAGAATATAAACGCTATGTTGGTCAAGCATTCGTCTTTCAAACTTTCGTTTGACTTTTGCTCTTAAAAGATCAACAAGAGAATACTTGCATTTGCGCTCATGCCGATGGCCTATGTTAAAGATATAAAAATGTGACTTTGACTGTGACAGTTTGTGACATGTGACAGATTCTGACTGATTCTACTTCCTGACTCATGCCCCTTCTAAGTTAGGAAATGTAAGTTTAACATTTCTTGGTACGTCAAAAAATCTAATATATTCCCCAATTCTTTTAAGTAAGATGAAGGACACTTTAAATACGTTTCTCACACAGACGAATTGTAGTGTAAAAAAGATACAAAACTGGAAGCTTACAAGTTAAACGTGTTATTTGTTTCACCACCCAGAGCCAGACTAACAACGTATTAAAATAGCCGTTTTAGTTGCACTTTCTTTGAAAAAAGGTTGTTCGGAAGCAAACTATCAGATTCTTGTAGTTCATAGCAAGGTGTTGTGCCACAAACAATATGCACTATTGCAGCCAATCGATGTAAGACAAAGGCACACATCTCCAGACGAAAAAACTCGAATTATAGCTCCCTTACTAATATTCAGCTTCCTATTGCGTGGATGTAGAACAAAGAGAAACCTACTGGGAAGCACTCCCGAAGAGGCATGTAGTGGGGGCATTAACAGTGCACTCTACGAAGTGAATGCACATTTGATAACTTCTCAAGATATTGACGAGGTAGGCAACCGAATAGTTACGTATTCAGTTGGAGGAGGTGAAAAGACGTTCACACTACGCCGTACAACTTCCTAAAAACCCTGCGTAATAAAAATATAGAGAATGGAACATCCGAAATAGGTTGCTGTACACTTGGTGCCTAAAAAATTTTTTTACAGTAAGTAGTTAGTAAAAAAACGCTCTAACCTATCAGTGCATTTGAACTCAAAGTTGGTGCATAATGAAACAACATTGGGAACAAATTTTAAAAGAGCTTCTCAAAAAACTCAATTATAGACGTTGCTAAGTTGAGAGCGTAGCTAGACCCTTACAACAATATGCAATATAGGTTTTGCATATCCTCTAAAGAAAAAATTTGATTATGTAACTCATCTTTTAGGTGGGGTAATAAGTATTGTTCAAGGCGTGAAAATTAAAGCCGTTGTTCTACTGAGAACCAAGCGATGTGTAAAAAATACAGATCAGTTTTTTTTGTCAAAACCAGAATAGCTCAAAAGCACAATATTGAAATAATATGCTGCTCGCAAGAGCTACTAATGTAGCGACTTCAAGGTAAATGATAAAGGATAACCCTGTATTTTGTTAATACAAAACCATCCAAAGGTAACAAACTTAAAAAGTGGAGCTTTACAAACTTTTTCCGGAAAGCATTTATCAGTGATGAAATTACGAAAAAAAACTTTGCTGATAAAGTATAGAGAAGTCTAGTGAGTGAAGCAAATGCGTTTGATTACACGGTGCTTCTGCAAGTGCAATTACACTTATTTATCGTCTAATCAAATGATTCATTTGAACTGCAATTTATGAACAGTTCGATAAACGCTAAGTCAACTGCTGCTTTATACTGACTTTGGTGCTCATATGGTGTCGTACAACTTTATTTTTTCTCCAAAAGTATAGAACGAAATTTTAGACTTCAAACTGCTTATTAGTTGAGTACTTTGAAACTTAGTTGATTACTGAACGAAGCAGAAGCAGCAAGCAAGCGGATAAAGCTAAAATAGCATTGTAATTCTGAAAATTTCCAGACTTTGGTCTTATACAGTATTTTAATCATCCTTTCTTAGCCATTTAGCAAAAAGCTTCTTCTTACGCTATTGATATATTCTTCTACAGCACTCTTCTGTTTTTGCGGCTGCCAAGAAGAACCTTCTTTTTCTTGTTTTGTAGCTATTTTAGACAAATGCTTGTCGCTATTGCGAGATTTCTATAACTATAGTAAAATTAGAAACTGAGAGATATTTTCGTAATCTCAATGAATTAATATTTTTTTCAGCTTCAGTCGCAATCGCCAAAATGTTCTCAAAAAGATACTAAGACGACCAGCTTGCAGGACCAAATAGTGAGAGCCATTCTCTGCCAGTGACAGAAACTGTGCTAAATTGGTAAGTAAATAAGCAGTGCTCAAGTCTAATCGACCCCCAGAAATTCACATTATAGGTTTCTTTTCTAAAATACAGAAACCCTTAAATTGAAAAGTTTTTAAAAAATTGTACGTAGCTTCTGTAGAGTAAAAAATGTTGTGGTATCTCCCTTTCATACCAATTATTCTGGAAAAAGACACCACATTGTTTCCATAATTTTGCGAGAAAAAGTTCGTTGTCAAAAGTGGAATTTATAAAAAAAAGCATATTTTTTGGCAGTTCTAGGAAAGTTTACCTTTGCATGTTCTGTTTTAAGCTATAAATTTGTAGCGCAAATCACGTAAAATAAAAAAATTAAGTTTTCAAAAATGAAAACACCAATTTACGTTCACAAAAATAAAAACCCTCTTTTTTTGACTAAGAGGCATAATATTGTAATTACTCAAGTCTCAGAAATGCGCAAAACTCAAAGCGCAGTCCGACGTAAAATAGTCTAGTAGCGAAACACATAATACAAACGCACATGCACAATTAATTTGATCTTTCAAGAATTTCTTGACTGAATTGAACTGTATCCATTTTATTCATTTGTTCTGATGGAAGAAATATACGTTAATAGTTCTGACCCAAAGTAAAGACGCATTTCAGTTTTTAGAAGAGTTGATGCCAAGCAGCTGTAACCATGAACCTACAAATTGCATAAAAACGTACCAGGATTAAAAAGAATACAGGCTTTCATCGCCACAAACTCTATATCATCCATTTTCAAAAACCTCATTGGTGCTACAAGCTCGTCCATCATTCGTTCACAATCTCGTAAGTATAAATGCCTAAAACCAGCTTTATCGACAGCAAGACATTCAACACTCAGAAAAGAAAATGCAGTTCTGCAAAAAAAAATATAAAAGTGAGTTATTTTTGATCACCATACTCAGGATATATTTGTTCGCCGCCGCTTTTCACTCGTGGTATGCAAGAGTTGTTCAAGAGTTTGAGAACATTTATATCATTTTTTGAGCGATAGGTTACGCATAAAACAACGTGCTGACTTGCAAATCGTTTTAATAACGCTGTCTGAAAAAAGTGCCATATGAGAACACATAAGCGCATAAATGATAAATGTTCTTACTCACAAAGAATTGGTTTTTTGGCTGAGAAATTAGGCAGTACTTTTCTTCTGGTCAAGCAGCTATCCTTACTTAAGCACAACTTTGTAGGTCTAATATTCTTCTCCAAGTTTCAAAATTTTTTGTAGAATTATTGAACAGCCAATATTTTGAAAATTGGTGTTTGTTGACCTCAGGTCAAATCATGACATCTTTTACTTTGTTTTACAAATTACTTTTAAAGTTTACTAGCAAAATAAAGTTTAACCAGTGGTTTACATAACAACAACAGTTATCTAAGTTATCTAAAAAACACATCCCAACGAAATGATTTGTCATAAGAGGATAAGAAAACAGCTTCCAATTAAAAGATCCTTCGTGACAATTTACAGCTTCAGTTTATTAACACTTTACTTCAATTCCTACGATACCAAGTAATATACTGATAAAAGAAAAAAATAAGTCTACTGCAATTTGAAAATTTTATTTCCGAATTAACTTCGGCTGATATTTTGTTTCTAAGACGCGTTAAAGACAATGTTTTTATTCCAATCTTTGAGACATTATTTTTTTTTATTTAAATAAGTTAGGATTTAATAATACACTTATAAGGTGTTGCTGAAAATCTGTACATTAAGTTTTTTCAATCTAAAAGACTTACTTTTCTTACATACCTTTTTAGCCTTTTTTCTTATAAGTAACAAAATAGCTAGAAAAGTTTTTATGACTGTCGAGGATGAACTGAATTAACCTATCTGTTAAGTAAACTCTAATCGCGACAAAATTCGCACAGAATAAAAGAAACTATAAAATTTCTAAATCTCAATCGGGCTGATAATAATCTACCGTTTTTTCTAATTTCTGTCGTGCGTGACTTTACAGAGGCAAGGTGTGGTTTTTCAGATATACTTGAATGATTAATCAGCTGTGGCAGTCAGTATGAGATATTACAGTTTAGAACAGAATTCCATTGCCCTTGAATTACTCTCACAGGTGCATGTTACACTACTGATTTCGAAAAAGAAAATTAATTTTTGAGTTTAGCCGCTAACGTGTTTGTTTCAGAGTCTAAAACACCCAAAAAATGCTGATTTGTTTCCAAGTATTCCTAAACTGATGTTGTCATTATAAATTTCAAAAAAGAAATTAAAAAAATTAGTATTTTAAGCCGCTGTTTTAGTTAAAAGTTTGCACATGAGTGAATATGGGATAAAGCATCTTTATAACAACTATCTTTATACTGCTTTTCAATTATTAGAAAACGTAAGAGCACTTTTTCATACTCTAAAAAGAGGAAACAACACCTAAATTTACCCATTTAATTAATGTGTCCAAAGAGCCTAGAGAATTGCAAAATACCTGGTCTTCCGTTGTAAGAGCTGCGAACGGTGGCAAGGTTTTGGCCCATTCAATAACAAGAAGTAGTTGACTATGTAGACTAGAGAATATGTCGTTTATTGTTGCCTTCCTCTCGCCTTCGCCAAAGTGACTCTTGAAATAATAATAAGTGTAAGGAAAATGTTGAACAAGGTGCTAGTTAAAAAAGTTGCCTAGTAAATTTAAATCTTTTCCAAAAAATGCATGCTATTTGTCATCAAGTGCAAAAAAAATAAAGTCATCGAGAAAAACCAATTTCTTTTTTAACAACTTTTATAGATGTTTACATGACTGAGTGGTGGGTCTGATTTGGAATACTCTAAGCTACTTGTTTGTTTGATAACGCTATCTCGAAGTCGCTGAATAGCCTTTTCAGAAGCAAGCAAACTTTCCAATAAGGCTTTTGGGTTATTCCAAGAAGTTGACGGACATGGAGATGTTGTTGGTGGCGAATTAATCCTAAAAAAAGTGCTGATTTCTTTTAAAATGCTATCTGTCATCTTGAACTCAAAATTTTCTCTAAAATACAAGTATGGGTAAATCAATTTTACCCGTTAGACATGTTCGACAGACGCCTTGGAACCGAGGATCGGCGAACCAACCCACTTGTAGCAGATACTGCAATGGCTGAAACTGGTCCTGCATTAGACGACGTTGATGATGCTCGCTGCCTTTTGCCAATGACATCTCGCTCGTTCTGAACAGCTGCAATTTTCTCGTTTTCTTTTTTTATGAGTAAAATTTTATTCCTTTCTTCTGGCTCATGAGAAATTCACGCTATCAAGCCAGGTTTCATGACTGTCATAAAAAATTAGTCAACATATTTTAAGAAGCAAGAAGCCTTAGATATATTTCGTTCAAACTACTGTGACTAACCACTTCAGACTACAGTAAGTGTATTCTTCTCCCTACCCCTGATAAGCTGCGTTTGTTATCTAAAAAATAAAGCAGTTTTAGTGTGACAATCGTGTGTCAAAGGCAAAAACTTATTTCTCGAGGAATTAGAACAGCAGCTTTGTAAACTAAAAAACTTCAGAATTTTTTTTTAAATTGAGCTTGCAACTCTAGTCTGACGTTTTGAACCACACAATCTCTAAACATTATCCCTTAGACATGCAAGGTGATATAAAACGTCATAAAGTTGACGATGCACCATTAAGTGCACTGTGTAAATGAGTCTTTAGAAAACGGAAGAGAAGGCCAGAAAGAAATGAAAAAGTAGACATTCAACGTGAGCTGCTAAAATGTACAAACTGTACTGCGCACATGCAACTGTCTAATGACTTGGAAATACAATCTTGCGGTCCAACAGTCACAAGAAAAAAAACAAGTGCTAAAATAAACTGTCCAAGTAAGAAGACTTTTAAGACCATATAAAGAAAAGCGCCCTTTTTGAGGATAATAATGGCAAAAAGAAAAAGATTAACGGTAGCGTGTGGTTTAGACGCGAAGAAATTGAGAGTACTTAAATTGAGAGTAGTTTTTCTACTTAAGTTGTTTCTACGTGCTCAAAGTTTAGGAAACAGTGAAGACCTTGAAGTTAAATGATTAGTACCAAACAACACTTAAAAGTTCCTTCAGTTTATTCTTCTGCTGTGGTAGAAGTATAAAAATAACGCCCACATACATAAAATTTTGATACTAATTAAAGCGTAGTTACAGATGCGTAAAACTAGCATTGCGTGGAAGAGGTAGAACAAAGAATGAGTTAATGGGGAGAAGTTGGTATTGGTGTAGGTTGAGAAACAACTACTGAAGCAACACAAAACAGATCTGAATAGGTAAGAAATCTTGTCACGTTGCTGTAACAGCTGCTAACTGGATGAATTTACTGACCACTAATTAAGGAATTCAAAAACTGTAAATTTTTATTACAGAAGACCTTTCACCGAAAAAAAAAAAAGTTCAATACATGCGAATAATATTGGTTTCAGAAACCACTGACCAGAAAGAGGAAGAAGAACTTCAAAAAAGAAATTGATTTAGATTCTTTGCTCTATTGTCGCGACCATATACGAAGTGGTAGCAACTTTACAATATGAGGTGATCGGCCGCTGCATGCTCTTCAAGGGAAAGTTCTCGGAGGGACAACAGTGGAGATCACTACAAAGGAGCGACAGGTGTATAAATAAAAAGTGAGGCTTCATTGGGGTTGTTCTTCTTTGTTTTATTCGACGTCAGTCGATACATTCTTCTTGAAGTTTTTCTACTTAAGTTGTTTCTACGTGCTCATTGGCAGGTATTGCTATTCTGTGCTACTATAACACTTTGTGTTTTGTTTTCCTATTATTGCCCTCTGGAGTATATGTTAGGTATAGGCATTGCTATCGTGAGTTCGTATCTGTTATATTATTTTAAAGTGACTAATAAAGTGGTTACTATTAAGATTATTAGTGCGCATAAAGCATATCACTCAGTCAACAGGCGCAGATGAGCTAATCTAAGGCGTAGATCAAATTCTTTCGAAGTCAATAAGGCAGGAGTCCTAGCATCAAACACAAAATTAATTGGTCGTTACAAGAAGCTTAAGACTGGTAAACGTTCCAAGCTTGTAGAAGAAATACAAGAAGCTAAGGTTGGTACTGTGAGCAGTAAGGGCTAATTACACCTACGGTAAAGACTTTAAAAATAAGGTTCGAATAGGGGGCTGTAGGAGAGGAAACGTTAAGGTCAAATCCCCAAATCTTTAATTCTGCCTGTAGCCGAGACAGCGTTTGTTTCCAAACTTTTTCTTATATTACGTTTCCGGCTTCTAAGAAAACTCTTGCTTTCAATTTTTACTATTAAAAAATCATGAAGCTTTTTTTTCCACCAATCGTGTACTCATTAGTTCGTTTAAAACTTTTTTATTGGGAGACTAGTTTAGAAGCTAAACAAAAGATAAACAAAGCGCTTCAGTTTCAAATATGCCTAAACTGGTTTATGTTGTCTTGTTTTCGCACTTCTTTGGAAGTATAAAAAGTGATTTTCTAGTAAAAAGAGTGTGATAAAAAACCGTTCTAAAAAAGTTCCACTTTTTCATCTCAAGCACTTAGGTATTTTGGTATACCATAGGGATGGCCCAGAGCGCACATTTAGGAGGGTTGCAACCAGCTGTTTGCCGGACCTATTCTGCGCTGACTGTATTGAAGACTGCATTCACTTTTAAACAATTACCCATTACTTACCTACTGCCAAATTCATCATAACAATTAATTTTTTGACTTATTGTTTTATCAGGGGCAGCAGCAAATGTGATGTTACTAAAATGTCCCCAGAAAGAATTTTCCTAATACATCACTATGCGTGTTACGCATATCATATTTGATGACAAGAAACTTTATGAAATCATGTAAGACGAAAACACTTTTGGACAGGTCTCCACCAAAATAGTAAAGGTTGAGAAAAATGTAGACAGTTTGTTCAACTCAATATACAAAAAAACTTTCAAATATTTCAGCAGAAACGCCAGAAAACGTCATGTTTTACACAGAAAAAGAAAAAAACCAAGTTGAAACAGTTAGAAAGCAGTTTTTCAAATATCGAGTTTTATTTTTCCTAATTTTTTTGCCGAAAGTGAGCCAAAAAAATAAACATCTTATTTGTTCGTTGAAATTCGTGTAATTATAAACAGGTTTCAAAAAAAGCATTTTTTAATCACTCCTTTCCTTCTTCTTTTTTGGTTCTTCACTAGTTTTCTTTTAATGTGTTCCTATCGCAATCTTTTAATAACACTTAACGCTTTTTAGAAGCTTCAAAATTAAAAACTGCTGGTATATCTGCTTGATAACGGTGCAAAACTGCAACTCGTTACTTTCTGTGAGGTTCTCGTGAAAGATGTGTATCAAAAAATTAAAAACTTGCGACGCGCAGTTTGATCAGTTTTTCATTCATTGCCAGTTTATTCTATTACAACTAGAGTTTTAACTAATTTAGCAGATGTTTACTGATTAAATACATACAGGTATAATAATTTTATCAGTTATCAAATTGTAATAAAATCATTTTGAAGATTGACTAAAAAGATATAAGCCTCAAAACAAACCTTGTCTTGTAAGATATTATCAGTACGCAGCTCAAAGCTATGCATTAAAAAGAACCAGAGTATGCTAATATGGCATTAACAGAAACTGTTGCTGCTAAAAAAGCTTGTAAAAAACTGTAATTTTCACACATGTTAATAGCCATTAAAAAATATCAGATTTAATGATAAGTAAAAAATACCGTCAATCCTCATTCCAGCACCGATACATCTCATATATCTGCAAGAACGACATACTGCCCTGTTATCTGTAAGCAATAATTTATTACTTTAAATTTACTAGTTTGCGGTACAGCAGATTTTTGGAATTTACATCTATGACCTTATGACTACTAATAAAAATATTATAAAAAAGCTATCCAAAAATTTTCCAAATAGTTATCTTCTTCAAACAGTATAAACAGTTTGAGTGGTTTATGCCTCAGCAATAATCAAAGAACAAAACTAAAACAAATGTAACAGAAGTAAGACGTACGCTTATCAATACTGCAGTTTCCATTAAAACGACATGTGTATTTGTAAGACCGACGTATAGTTCTTCGAAAAAAACCTAAATATTATTTGAATTAATCATTGAAAGAAGTGATTATTCTAGTTAACTGATAAACTGATATTAATAAAGCTTAAAAGACATTTGGCAATATTACAGTGACCTGTTTTTATTTTTTACTATATTTGTTGTTTTTAAGTCAATTTTTTTTAAAAACAACAACAAAAACAGCAATGCAGTTATCTTAAAAAGCAAAAAAAAAAAAAAAAGTGCAAGCTTCTTGTTGAAATGAATCCGGCATATTGCCCTGTGTTCTAAAGAAATGTTAAAAGCAAATACTGTTAAAAATCTTAAAGCTTTTGCCTTCTTTTTGTATTCTGTGGTATTTTTCGCTGTTTTTGATGTTTTAATTTATAGTTTTTATATAAAAAAATTTTTTGTCGCGAAAATGACAACAAGATTTATAGTATTAATTATTACTGCATTACAGTGTAAATTGGTAAAGCCAAAAGATTTACTCTTTTAGTACTTAAAAGCAACACTGAAAGTTGAAATTATTTCTTGCTAAAAAAAGTACATTATCCAGCTTCTTCTACAACAGCAAGTAAAGAAGGAAAGAGAAAAAGAAAAAAACTTTTTTATAGAGATCTATGAACAATGTGAAAAACTAAAAAACAAAAAAATTGTAAAATTGACAACAGTGGTTGTTTATTTTTTAAAAAATTTTCAGTGTAATAAGAGATTTCTCTGCACACCTTAATGGTATCTGCGTAAAGGCTTCAATCTTTTTACGTTAACAAAGAACTGTTAAATGTATTTCATAAAACATTCTTTAAGCAATGCTTTAGAAAAGTACGAATCTAAAGCAGTTAGTTCAAAGTCAGAGTAGATTTGCATTAATAATAGCAAAATTTTCGCAAATGTTTATAATTAAAATTACAAAGCATTTTGCTATTTTGCGGTCAACCTTAAAATAAGCCTTGTTTCAATGTCAACCTTCTAAAAATTCTTTGCTGCTGCACTTCATTTTTAAGTTCTAATACAATCAGACACTCAAATATTAGTTTCTGTAAAATTCAATAAATTTAGAATTTACTTTGAGACTACAGCTACATATTTCACTCATCAACAAATTAGTATAATCAGCTGCTGAAGACTTTGGCTTAGTTTAGTTCAATTTTAGTCTGATTCGTAAATATTAAACATTTGTCAGAATTGCAGTATACAGTAAGATTATCAGCAAAAAAAGTAAAGCAAAAGATTCGTTCCAATCAAGAAAAAGCAATTGGTCATTAAGAGTGAGTAAAAAAAATTTAAAACTCAAACAGACTATTAAAAAAGAGAAGAATTTTGCAAAAATTATTGCTGCTATCCAGAACATTTTCGATACAGTTAGGCAAAAAAGTATGATTACCTTTACAGCCGTTGCATGCCATAGTTCCGTAATGACGTCCAGTAGCTGAGTCTCCGCATACCTCACATCGTACTTCTTGACCGTCTATAGCTGGAAATTCTTCAGTAAGCTAATAAACGAAAATCAAACAACAGAAGAAACCTGATTAGTATCATCAATAACAAATTACTAAATTCTGTCTGCTTAGAATTTCTTTAGCTTTCTGCTACCATTCAACGTTTACAATTGGCTAGAAAACAATGCTATTTTAAACAGTTTTTTTTTGACTTTTGACCGGGTTACTAATGATCAGTCTAAAAATTTGATTTTTGCCAAAAATTGGCACTAAAATTGTCTCTGTGTCATAAACACTTTGTTTATCAGATTCTTAACTGATCATTCAAATGTGTTACAAATAAAAAGAAACAGGCTAGTAAATAGGCAATAAACAATGTTTACGTACTGTTTATACGACTTTTGTTTATCGCTGCTTATTCTGACTGAAAACTTCAAAAAAATTCTCAACTATTTAAACTTTATCAATATTTCTAGCGAATATCTCGTTGACTAAGAATATCAATAGTTTGTCAGTAACATAATCTAGCAACTTACCTTTTTCTGAACCTGTACTATCTGCCATTACATCCTTTGTTTCAAGCATTCTTATAAATTGAGCGATACGCTTAAAACTGCAAAATTTTGGGAAAAATTGCTTAAAATTATGCATTAAGCAATAAATTTTGCTCCAAAAAAACAAAGACCTGACATAGTAATCATTCAAACCGGCAAAAACTTTTCATGAATGAACTGATAATTGAAACAAAAAATTAGATAAAAATTAGGAGGAAAAAACAAGCAAACAAATTGAATGCAAGAAGTAAGGTAGTGTTTATATATAATTGTCTCTTGCAATTTATATATATTGAAAAAACAAGAATAAAACTGTAATTTTTTGTTGGCAAAAGTTGTAGTTTTTACTGAATAAATGCATATCACTCCACTTCTTCACTTTCTTCTTCTTCTTTCTTTGGTTGAGTTTTTAAAATCAGTTAATAAACTTTGACCAGACATCGTCTATTGTTATTCCGTCCTATCCTTATTTGTATGCAACAAAAAAAATTAAATGTCCAAAGCAAAAGACAAAAGATTTTTTGTATCTCAGGTCTCACTGTTTCGTGGAACAGGTTTTCACTGACAACGGTAATGGTATTTGTCAATAAAAATGAAGAGAAAAACAGAAACATAGACTAGCTTGACTGGTTACACAACTTTCAGAAGCCAAAGACTACAAATTGATTATTCCGAATAAGTGACAACACATCTTTACCTCTGAATAATCATCTATACTTCACAGTTAGATTTGCATTTTCTCGAACAGTAATTCTTCTCCAATACTTGTCGTTACCCGAAAGATTTAGGTGACAAATGCGTACGAAACAAAACTATTATCTACTATCTAAAAAAATAAAGCAAAAATAGATTTCAAACACCAAGAAAAAGCTACACTGTTCTAACAAAAACTTGGAAAAATTCTGTTTGTTTTTTCTTTTTGCCTTCTCACCTTAACGCTGCCATATGCTGACAAACAACTGCCACAAAAATCTATTCAACCTGCGGTTACAACTGTTAACTTTAGTTGTTAAAGTATGAAATTTTAGTTATCTTTCAACAAAATAAAGTTAAAACACTATCAAAGACGAACAGCTTATCTAGTAATAAAACAATGGTGGATAGACAGTAATATAGCGTTCTTTGATTTTGATACATTGGATTTAATGATTGCAAGAACCAAGTGATAAGACATTAGAAGGAAAAGTTTGGCAACAAAAACTATACGCTTAACATATTAATTGATCAAAATTATACTTCTACAACGGTTCATTAAACAGTCTTAAAAAAAAGCAGAAAAAGGAAATCAAAAAACATTGATTTTACAGCACAAACTCCACAGTGCTGTCGTTTTAAATACATTATAAATATTTTGCATATAAGTTTAAAAAAATAAAACAAAAATAAATTTGGTTATCAGCAGCAGAAAATGTGGATTAATTCAGCAAGAAATAGCTTTTGGTATCAAAAAATACATATAAAATCTTTTTTTAAAACTAAAAAAAACTCTCTTTCTGTTGTTTATAAAAAAACAACGTGATTTTTTACGCAAAAAAAAAGTTCTTTAAGAAAAAAATTGTTCAGAAAATATTTGCTGAGAACAGCGAAAACCTAACAAACGCAAAACTTTGAAAGGGAAACATCGATTGGAAACCCGAAACACTGTTGGCAAACTGTCTCCTTATTTCTTTTTCTTTTTTTTTTCTTTCTTTTTTGTCTTCTTCCTGTTCTTCGTCATTAGTATGAAGTTGTTTTGAAAAGCAATAATTTTGTACTCCTACTTTTGCCTAACTTAAATAAAAGCCATCAATCTTTCAGGTCTATTAATGTATCTAAAACCGAGGTAAAGTTAAAAAATCAAACAGGATGATCTTAATAACCAATATTTTTTTATAAAAATTAAGTAAAAGAAAGTTTTTTTTATCAAAAAAATTGATACTCTGCGTAGCTTTCTAAATCTGTAACATTTATCAATAATACTCATTCTTGCAAACTTTTTTTTTTGTTTATCACTGCAAAATAAAACCTCCTTTCTCCCTCACCCAAAAAATAAAAAAGAAGTTACCGATAATAAAAATCCCAAATCTAATCAACTGATAAATTCAACTTCATCTATGAGTAACGTTAAGAAGAAAATAAGATTCATTTTAGTCTAAAACACACAACAGACAATTCATATTCAAACTGCAACAAAAAAATAGAAAATATTAGAAGTGGAAGAAGTAAAATTTTTGAGCAGTTTATACAAATAGTAGCACAAAGAGTTTCCCGACAGTCAAATCGTGCTTTAACGGTTCAAAAACTATTGATACTTTGAATAGGTTAAAGGATAACTTCAGGTCGAAAAACAGATGATCTGATCTTTAAGTGATCTCTTGCCAAAGTCTTTCTAAAATTAACTCCTTTTCCGACACAACAACACATACATAGACACTTAACTAATTTTTTGTCGGCTACTGTTATTCACAGTTTACTGATATGCCTTAACAGTTAGACAGCGGCAATTTTCTATAGACAACGATGACAGCGACGACGACAACGACAGTGACAATAATATCAATTTTTATCAACTTAAAGTTGACAAATAAAATAAAAACAAAAGTCTTCATCAGAAATTGCACACAAATTTTCATCACAAACAAATGTTTAAAATCTGAATAAAAATTAAGCTAAAACAAGAGGAAAAGATTAAGAAAAAAAAAATGATAATATTTTCATTAGCATTACAAACTTTAGTATAAAAAAACACACTCAAAAACTGATTAAAAATAAAAAGCAGGAATTGTTTTTACTCGGAAAAATTTTTGTACAATTGAACACATATAAACATTTTAAAATCAAGAACAGTAATTATCTTCTTTTTTTTAAGCTTTATTATAAATTACATAGTGAAAATGAAAACTAAAAAGAAAAAAGATAGGAGAAATTCAAAAGAGAAGCAAACAGAAATCAAATTTTTTATGATCGATATCTGCAAAAATGATGACAGCATTCTATTAACATATAAATAACAGAGATGAAAGCAATGAAGCATTACAAAAAGTTAGTGTAAACACTGTTTAATCACTGGATGACCATAGCTGTTTAATCATAAATGTTAGAAAACAGAGCACCAAGTGTTGTGTTGGTTAAATAAAATTATGTTGCTGATTAGAAAAATAAGTTCAAAAAAAAAAAAAAAAA